TATATTTTTTGTTATATATTACAAAACATGGATCAATAAGTTATTCACATAATTTATTCTATTTTTATTGTTTTGTTATAAAAGATGGTTCAAGCTCTTATATGTGGGCAAGATTGGATTCGTGCACAACTTCGCAAACCAAAACTTGATATGGAAGAGAATTTAGAAGAATTAGAAAAAATGGAGAAAGGTATGGAGAGTACTACTTTAGTTTTTTTATTTTATTGTTTAATTGTGAATGATGGAATAACTGTAATATGTAACTTTCACATCACCAGATTTGAAGAATGCAAACATTGATGATGATTTGATCTTTGTCACGGAATGAAGAAAGTGATTACAAGTAATTTTGTAGACTCTTATTTCCATTCCAATGTTTTTAGTACTATTATATTTTCTTCTTTTAACAATCCCTTGCATTTTGTATTCCATTGCAGTTTACATGGCTAATGGGTCCTAGTGCAATTGAGAAAAAAGCTTGTTACAAAAGGGATGAAATGTATTTTTTGCTCTCTACTTTATTATCCAAGTGTAATTTTTATCTCATTAAAGATTTTTCAGTTTCATACATTTCCATCCCTACAATCCCATGAGAGCATGAAGATTTTAGTTGAATTGTTTTTTTGAATCAATTACTATCCTACTCCCCAATTCCCCGTGACTTTTTGTTTTGTACAAATGGTGAATGGATGTTGCTACTTACTATTTCTTGTATGGAATTATATTTTGTAGTTTTTTGGTTGTATTAGATTTAAAAAATTCAACTGAGAAAAAAAATTTCGGTCTACTCGATCTATTTCGGTTCGGTCTAAATTTTTTCGGTCCGGACCGGTCCAAGACCGACTGTGAATCGGGTCGGTCTTCGGTCCCATATTTTTCCAATTTCGGTCTTCGGTCCGGTCCGGTCCGGTCCGGTCCGGTCCTGGACCGATGAACACCCCTAGGTGCAGGGGATCTGGTTCGACCAGATTGCTTCCAAATGCTACCTTCCAAGTATGTCAGGCTGTTAAACCGTAGGCGTTCCAGTGATATACTCGGGTGGTTCCTTAGAAGGGACCCTTGGTTGATTAATGAATTTCTCCGTCAAGACTTGTTCCCCGGCTGGTAACGTCATGGGTACCAAACCACCCCGGTGGTTCGTTATTCACCCGGTCAGATTCACTTATCCCAATTTCCTTTAAACGATCTACACGTGATCCACCTGGTTAGGTCCAGGGTGGGAATACACCCATCAAGTAGCATGAATCATAGACAAACTACCCAAACCCACAATAGTCTAATCCAAGTTTTTTGTAGTCTTCGGAAGAGTAGTGTGATATATATATATATATATATATATATATATATATATATATATATATATATATATATATATATATATATATATATATATATATATATATATATATATATATCGACTACTATTTGGACTAGTAGTCATATTTGTAGAAAGACAATACCAAAAAAAACTTGTCGAAAGAACAAACAAAATAGCAGTCTACATCAGAGGTAGACTACCATAAAAACGTAGCATTCTATAACTCAAGATAACAGAAGTGTTACACCTGCAAGGACAACATTACAAATTAGTAGTACCAAACACTATAAAATAGTTATATGTTTATGTTTCACACTACCCTTTATAAAAAAAATGGTTTGTGGCTCTATCACTCTACTTCTCCGAAGACTACCTAAAATAGCATTATCAAACTACAAAAAAAGCAGTAGTCTGATGTTGTTTTTGACGTAGTGATTTACATTTATAGAAGTACATTGTCCACTAGACACACTACATCCATCAGATGTTAACACATTTTTAAATGTGAACAAAGCTCATCCGTTGAACATAGCCTATGCATGTTTGCCCATATATACACATAAAATCTTAAATGCCCCCCAAGAAGAGAGCAACGAAGTACTTAGTACAGAAGTGCCAAATTTAAGTATGAACTCAAAGAGGTTATGGATTCACATATGGTGTTTTTTGGAAGTCAACAGAACAAACGCTAATGACAAAATCATAAAATCAATCCAAATTGATAGCATTATACGAGAGTGACCGAGAGCGGGCATGGTAGATATTAATGATCAACCAGATACAAAATCAAAGACTCATCTATTATCCATGAAAACAATGCACCTTGCAATTACTCAGACTCAGTAAAGCCACACGGAAGGTGATAGAACGAAGCACATCTTACCAAAGCTCTTCGACGTGCAATCCCTAGAAAGAGGGGGAGATTGGTATTCGTCAAAAGCCCACTAGAAACACGGCAGACATGCTCACAAATCTTTATCAAGTAACAGCCTCGAGCAACTCACTTTGAAGATTAGACTTCATAAACTGAAAGGCATTGTTTCTTTTGGGGAGTAATTTTATTTTGAGGGAAAACATTATACACCTTATACTCTTTTTTACGTAACTAAGTTTTGTCCCACTGGTTTTTTTTAGTAAGATTTTTAATAAGGCATCACAACTGATCTTATTTACCTAGACTTTACCCTTTCACTTGTATGTATAAATATTCCAATTTTTAAGAAATGAAGTACCCAGTTCATAACACATGAGTTTTTTATCCGTCTCAAATTTGTTTACACTTTGACTTTTTAGGTCAAGTTTACAAATTTTGACCATGAACTATGTTTAAAATATACTCCGTATTTAATTAGTTATTATGTAAATTTAATATAATTGATCCAATTCTACTTAATTATGATATATGATGGAAATAAACTCGAACAAATGACTCGGCCGGGGAGGCCAAGTCGGATAAGTAATCTGAAGTAGAAAAATAGAGCTTGAAAAGAGAACAATGGAACAATTTTAAAATGAGCTAAATTCAGCGCGTGCATGTTTACAATGGCCTTCAGCCCCCATTTATAGGCCTGATCCCAAGAGAGTACAAGGAAAGTGTTAATTATGGAAGGCTCAATCTCGTCTCTGGTCTGCCTCTGCCGTTGTCATACAACCCTGTACTCTGCCTCTACACAAACATTTCGATGGTTTACACCGACACAAGTGTTGGTGCGTTAATAAAAATTCACACGGACACAAATGTTGGTGCGTTTAACAAAAATTAGTTTTACACCAACACAAAGTGTTGGTGCAAAACTGCGGGGTACAAATTGGGGTACAAAACTTGGAGTACACATAGCATAATCCAAAGTTCATTCCTCTTCCTACGTACAAATGAAGCGGGCTATTTGTGGACTCCTGTTGGGGATTGGGTTGGGCCTGGACCCAGGAGGACAAATATCCCATTAATGTACTTTTTATATAATCCATCAAATTAAATTTTTATTACATTTGTTTATTTAAAAAATACTACGTATTTATTAATAGTCAATATATGTAACAGTTTGACCAAATAAGTCAATCTAAAAGCAAAGAATACATAGTTATATAATTTGGATCGAAGGGATTAGAAAATGTATTATCATCCCTCTGTCTAAAAAATTACTTCTCGTTTCATGTTACAATTTTTGACCAAAGTAACTTTAAAATCATTTTATATGAAAACTTATATGTAATTTAAAAATAAAAATTATATATTTAAAAGTACATAAAAAATTTTACAAGATTAAAGGTGACATGATTATATTATTATGTAAAGGGTGTTGTTGCTATATTCACTCAAATTATGTTCAAATCCATCTTATTTATGGGGTTACGTAGACAACATTGTCCTTAAAAACACAAAGAAGGATATAAAATGTTACTCAACTTTTAAAGATAAATTTGTCCATTTAATATAAATGGAGTACATTTAGCCATAATAGGGGTGATTTAGCAAGACCTTTATATCAAATGGGTAGTAAAAAGAAACCAACAAAGTAATAAAGTTAACCGTGTGAATAGTAAATAAGAAGAAAATTCTGTAAACATACAGAGTATATATATAATTTAGTGTTGTCACGGCATTGTTTAGGAATTATAGGGCGTGACATATATAGCACTAATAATGCTTCTTTAAGCGTTTTCGCGATTTGGCCGCGACAAGAATTATTTTTAAATTACAATACTCTGTGACAAGATTTCTTTAATAAAATTAGGTAAATTCGATCTGGTCACAAACATTGTCATGACAACAGCGATCTCTAAACAAATTCTTTTTTTGGTTCGTATTTGTCAGGAAGGGTGTGATACCCTCTCTAACGTCATCCTCTTTTCTTGGATGTAGTCGCACATCAGGCCGTGACAAAATCTCATACTCCCTCCGTTTGGAAAAACCCTTCCCATTTGATTTGGGGGCAAAAATAAGGAAGTGTTAAATTATACTCCCTCCGTCTCCCTAAGATGTTCTCATTTTGACTTTTGGTGGTTTTTAAGGAGAGTTGAAAAAAGGTGAAAGTTTACCATAATACCCTTAATGAAAAAATGGGTGGAGTGTATTAAATGAGGTGGGTGAGGTGTAATAAATAAAGTAAGTGGGGGTAGTTGTGGTATTTTAATTGTAAAAAAATGAAATGAGAAGATCTATTGTGTACAATGAAAAAGGGCTATTGAGAAGATCTATGAGGGACGGAGGGAGTAGTTGATTTCCAATTTTGCCCCTGATATGATGGGTAAAAGTAAGATGTGATGGATAGATTATTAGAGAAAAAGTATGATGTGATTGGTAGGGTAGGAATTGAAAAAGTAAGGGTAAAAGTGGTTTTTTAATAGAAAGGAGAAGTGTTTTGTTGGAAGTGGAAAAAAATGAAAGAGGAAGTGTTTTTGAGAACGAAGGGAGTATTTTTTACCCACCGAAAAGATGTGTTTCATATTCATATTTCAAAGAGTACACAAGAATGTAACTTCATTCTAGAGACAATTATAGATGAATACTAGGTATGATATTACCAGAAATGTATATTGTGTAAATTTATTTGGTTGGATTATTTGGTTCGAAAGTTGGGATTATTTTTGGTAACTTAATAAAATTAGGTAAATTCGATCTGGTCACAAACATTGTCATGACAACAGCAATCTCTAAACAAGTTCTTTTTTTGGTTCGTATTTGTCATGAAAGGTGTGATACCCTCTCTAACGTCATCCTCTTTTCTTGGATGTAGTCGCACATCAGGCCGTGACAAAATCTCATAATCTCTCCGTTTGGAAAAACCATTTTCATTTGATTTGGGGGCAAAAATAAGAAAGTGTTAAATTATAATTGATTTCCAATTTTGCCCCTGATGTGATGAGTAAAAGTAAGATGTGATGGATAGATTATTAGAGAAAAAGTATGATGTAATTGGTAGGGTAGAAAAAAGTAAGGGTAAAAGTGGTTTTTTAATAGAAAGGGGAAGTGTTTTGTTGGAAGTGGAAAAAATGAAAGATGAAGTGTTTTTGAGAACGGAGAGAGTATTTTTTACCCACCGAAAAGATGTGTTTCATATTCATATTTCAAAGAGTACACAAGAATGTAACTTCATTCTAGAGACAATTATAGATGAATACTAGGTATAAAATTATTTGGTTGGATAAAATTATTTTTCAAAAAAAAAAACTCAAATTTATTTGTCTGTATTTGGTAATATGTGGTATAATTTTTTCCAAAGAGAAATAATTCCTCTCAACAACGGAAAAAAGGAGAAATGATTTTCCTTTAATTTCGTAAAAGAATCTACTAACTCTCTATCTTACCCCCACTCCTCTACCCGGCCGGAGCCACCCTCCATCCACTCCCACCCGCCCCGTCCACTTCCACCCAGTCCACCCCCTCCCATTTGCCCCTTGCCACATGCCACCCGCGCGGCAAACCCGACCTCTCCCACCCTGTCGATATGATCTTGCACCGCCCGCTAACTCCTTATGTTGCTAAAACATTTTTAATTAACTTGTCCCAAAATATTTTTAGTTATCAAACATCAACAATGAAAAATATTTTCTTGAAGAAGAAATCCTTTCTACCAAACAAGGAAAAATTTACCAGAGAGAAAATAATTTTGCCTATATTATTGTGTAAGTTATTTTCTCCTAATAATAAATATTTCTCCCTATCAAACACATCATTAAGTTACTGTGGAAAATTTGGAGAGAGTAAAACTCCTATTGGAGAACCCTCTTTTAATGTCTTTGAAAATGACGATCGAATATCTTCTGTACAAAACAGCATCTAAACCAAAAGTGAAACATTATATTAATAATGGAAGGTCCAAAAACAAAAATATTAAAAACAAAAATTGGAAGGAATTGAAGAAGAAGAAGAGGAAGAAGAAGTGAGTATATGGGTATGTAAAACTAAAGAATTAGAAAGGAATGCGTGGAAGAATTAAGTAACATATATGAGATCTATCGATCATCAAATTATACAACGTAACTTAATTATACCCCATGAGGCCGGCCAGGACAGATATCATCATTTCAATTCCTTTAACTTCTTAGTATATGTTTAAGCTATAAAATTTCTACACGGACAAATTTAATTATAAGACTCGTGACAATATATTAATTATCATCATCATCAGCAGCACGTACCCAACTTAACTTGATGCTCTTAATATATGTGTCAATTCAAGCTAATTAAGGGTAGTTGTACATAAGTTCATCATCATCATCATCATAGAACATGCTTTCCACTACCTCTTGAAAGGGAGCGCCGCCGCAATCTACGGCTCCACCGGCCTCCACAAACACCCCCCGTTGCGCCTGGGGCACTCCGGCGGCGGATGAGTGGGCATGAAGCCACTCGTCGTCAACCACCGCCGGAAGCCCGTTTTCCGCCATCAGCTGGTAGTGGTCGACGACGACGTTGCCGGGATAATACTCATTGTTGTTGTTAATGCTGGTGGCGATGTTGCTGCTGTTGCTGCTGCTGTTACTGTTGCTGTTGCTGTGGTTGCTCTGGTCGCACACCGAGTTTATCATGGCCTCGTGGAGCCATATCTGGGCCTTGAGGAAGTTGACGTAGTGAATCGCCCCTTCCAACATAGAGACGGTGTCCATTTTGGTGCCACCGGGGACGAGGCTCTGGAGGATCTTGAACCGGTCGCTGATCCGGTGGCGCCTCTCTCGGGCCGCCACGCTCTGTCGGTCGGTCGACAGCTTCGTGGCGGCCTTCGCCCCACCACCGGCGGCGGAGGGTTTTTTTGTCCCTCCGCCGCCGCCGTTCCCGTGCCTCTTTCTCTCTTTGACTGGCTGGTGGTAATCCGCCATGGGGTTGCATGGCGAAAAGGAAGCTTCCATTGCTGTTTTTGATTCGATGGATTAATTGGAAGATCAGATCCGATCAGAGATGAAAAGGTGAGTTCAGGGAAATGAGATCCGTATATATATATAAGCCCGAGATTGTCGCTAGCTAGAAGCATTTTGACTTGCATAACCTTTTGAAAGCGACTTCTTACCGACATTCAGTTGTAAAGAGAGTCATTATTATTAGGTATTCATTATCGGGTCTTCCATTTCCTCTATCAAATCATTTTATTATTATTTCTTAATTATGATAAGCTTAGATCGATTAATTAATCATTTGAGTAATAACCAAAGATTATATTGATTACAACGAGTTAATGTAAGTAATTTTTCAAAGTTGGACTTTCTCTATCTATTCTTTAATTTTTTATTGAAATAGTTTACGGGTATATTTGGTTGGAAAAATATTGTAGCCAAAATGTCATTTCTAATTTTATACTCCCTCCGTCCCTAAATAAACTTCCCCTTTCGTTTTCTCTTTGTCCCCAAATAAACTTCTCTTTTCTTTTAAAAACCCTTTTTTACCCCTTACTTTTTCATACCCTACCTATCACATCATACCTTTTTACTAATAATCTACCTATCACATCTTACTTTTACACATCACATCAAGGGTATTTTTGGAAAGTCAATACAAAAATATTCCTCCCTTAAATCCTCAAAAAGTCAAAAATGGAACTTTATTTAGGGACGGAGGGAGTACGTTTCGTAAATACTCCCTCCGTCACACAAAATCATTCCCCTTTTTTTTCATCCGTCCCAAAAACACTTCTCTTATCTTACTAAAAAGTCATTTTTACCTCTATTAATTCTTAACATACTTATCACATCATACTTTTTCTCTATTAACCTACCCATCACATCCTACTTTATCCTTCACATCAAAGGGCATTTTTGGAAAGTCAACACCAAAATACACTCCCCTTAAATCCTTTAAAAGTCAATTTGGGAAGTTTTTTAATTAAGGGACGGAGGGAGTATATAATTTTTTTCTCAATAAAAAGTGAATACTTTTCGACAGTTATGGAAATGAAGATGCTTTGTTGGATAAGCGGTCATACACGTATCGATAGAATAAAGAAGGAAGATATGAGAGCTAAGGTTCGAGTGGCAGCTATTATATATAGGAAAAATAGTGGAAACTTTTCTTTGGTAGTTTGGACATGTGAAGAGAAGACAAATGGAGCATCCCGTGAGAAGGGTTGATCAAATGGTGGATATGAATGTGGCTCGAAGAAGAGGTAGACCTAAGAGTACTTGGCCTCCGTGTGAACAATCTCATAGCATATTTGATACACAATAGGGTGCAATAGCGTCGTTTGATCTATGTAGCCGACCCCACCTAGTGGGATAAGGCTTTGTTGTTGTTGCTTTCGAAAGAGATTCATACTTACTCTTAGGAATTCATACCCCGACTAGAGCCTCCATGACCCTTACCCCAAACCGGAGCCCACACCACTGTCCACCCTACTACCCTGCCCCACATCTACTAGCGCCTCCCATTAGCCCTAATGTTAGAAACTCCCTTCCTTCCATAAAAAAGTTTCACATTTAAATTGGCACATAGATCAAGGAAAGTAAAATTGTGTAGATTCAAACGATACAGAGGGAGAGAAATTTTGAAGGGCACAATTCTTTTTTCGAAATTAAAAAGTTGAACCTTTTTTGGGGGGACAAATGAAAAGGGGAATGTGGAACCCTTTTATAGGACACATGGAGTAAATCAAATATATATACGATATGATGTCATTATATTTATTGGGTTCTGATGCAATTATCTAGTTTTATACATCTATATATAGTGTACATATCAATCTTACATATTACTTGAGGAATACAACTACTCTATCATTATGTTGAATTAGAGCGAGGGTTCGCCACAAAAAAAACCTAGTTGATGGGATTTAGCCCAACAACTATGGCGTGCGAAGAACACATAAGTAATAAGAATAGCTTTGAAGGGAATGAGAACTCTTATATCTTTGTACTAGTTAATTTGAGCCCGCCTTACAATGGAGGGGTTACCCCTATTTAAATTCTACTTCTACCGTATACAAGGCATGTAATATTTCGTGCGCTATATTATCGGCAATCCGTCTATCGTGCGTCAATCATGCAGGAAATCAGTCATTAACTCCCCTCAATCCCACGATCTAGGGGGTTCCGTTTAATTTTTGTACTAGGTCAGACCGTCATCCCGACCTACGTTTGAGCCTCGCTACCATGTCTACAATCGGAATTATTTAGTTATTGGGCCATGGAATTCCAATTGGGTTGTCCTTGTCTGATCACTGGACCAGATATCCATCACTAGCCCTCTCTACTCTCTCTACCCGTTGGCCGTCGACCCCCTTCTTATGTTGATCATCGCTAATCAAACACCATGGCCAAACAGGTCAACCCTGTTTATGTTCTTCGCATCGCTTTCAAGATTTTTATAAAAAACATTTCACTCACTATCTTTAGAAAAACTTAATGACACTAATTTTTTCACCTGGTTCTCCACGAGTAAGAAAATCTCTCTGCCCATTGCTCTATGAGATACGCTGATGGAATGACACCTATACCTTTGGCGGCGCACGATCACAGTGGCAGTTGACAAGATAGCTCAAGCCCTAGAGGGCGGTGTTACAACCATCGCAAACACTGAATTTGAGGTATAGTATGTAATCGGTGCTTAGTTATGCGGAAGTCTTCTTCTTAATAGCTATAAGCCCATCTTTATAAAACAACCTTCATAGACTCTACTATGGTGCTACTATATGCAAGGAATCATTTATGGCTTAGGTACAAAAGCTATCGATGTTTTGATCTACCAACCAACAAAGTTTATGTCACTCGTCATGTTCGTTTTAGTGAGTGTGAGTTTTCTTCTAAAACCCCACAAGTTGGTCCCATTGTCTCCACACCTACTTCCTCATCTTGTTTCAATAATATTCTCCTTGATCACTCTCTCCAAAGCTTCCTAGATAGTCCTTTCTCGATCTTCACTTTCTTCTCAAGATCCCTGTGCCCAACAAGATATCTTCACATTCTTTGGCAACCTCCACCCAAAGCCTCCACTCCTGGCATGAGGTATTGTGTGTTTATCTCATTCCATGTGATATCATACTTTCCTATATCCCGGGTGGTTTCTACATACCATGATATTGACAAGTTTTTACTTCCTGGGGTCACCCTTACCCCTCGCACAGTTGGGAACTTGATACACAAATGCTTTAGGGAGATGACACAATCCAGGTCTTTTAGCCTAAGCCTTCACAGTATGAGCTTGGTATTGTAGACTAGCTTGACCACCATGAACTCTATGTCAATGTTTGCCACTCCTTGATCGTGTCCTACTTCGACTGGTAGGGTTACCACCTTATTACCATCAATAGAACCCCATGAAGCTCGTCCGCAATGTGTGGATGGGTCACAAATCAGTCTTCTTGAGCTGAAGTTCCCGAAAGGTGTCCATATACACCACATTAACTGAGCTTCTTAAGTCCACCAATACCTTATGTATAACGAGATCATTGATTTCCGCTATGATAAAAATAGCATCTCTATACAGACTTATACATTCTGGAAGCTCAGTGTTATTAAATATTATCAATTCAATTTTACCCTTCTTATCCATGGGGTGGCAACTATGAACCCTTGCCATGAGCAGCTCTTAGGCCCACTTCTTCCGCGAGGTCAATAAGTCATCAAAAGTATTACGATCTCCTACAATGTAATTGATCATTTGGTGTCTCTTCCCCTAGCCTTAGACTCCACATCCTTCTCTTCATTGTCATCTCAGCCTAAATGTTGCTTTCTATTTGGCACACTAGGGTTCATACGGTCCTGAGTTGTCTCATCCTCCTTTCTTTCCACACCTTGTTCTAAACAGGTGCAATTATTTCTCCCTCATATTTCAAGAAATGTCAAAGATGAACCCTCTTGCATAACCTTTCTAATTCATTTTGCAACGTGTAACACTCTTTGGTGTTGTGATCATTCTTCCTGTAGTAGGCACACTACTTATTTGTAACTACCACTCTTTGGACTTACAGTCCGTATAATCCAAGATCTCTTTGACCAGATGGGTGAAAGTTGGGACTAACTTCTTCAGATCTTGCTTGTGCCTTAAGCTCTAACCCCTTTCGGGTTATTCACAAATCCCTTATCCTTATTTTCTAGTTTTTCTTTAAAGACATCAAGCTCTGGCAATGCATGGCATACTGGATATAAAAGGCCATTATTATTGGATTGATGAATCACGGCTCCCGTCTTATTGTCCTTCATAGAGAAACTAGATGATTCAAGTTCAATTAAGTGTGTAGTTATTGTCATAGGTAAATTGACAAACTGATTTAAGGTTATGTATGATATGAGGGGATAGAAAGACAATATTTAGGACGAGGGGAGGGTTGGTATTCAAATTGTGAGTACCAGTGGCAATAGTGCAAACATTGGATCCATTACCGATAGTAATATATGGAGGTGAATTTAAGCTTTTATTAAATACATGAGAAAGAGTACCTTGATTCGAGGAAATATGGTGGGAGGCTCCAGTGTCCAGAAGCCATGTGGGCTCCCGAAGAGACATGGTGTCGGAGTCATGATGGAGGATAATGGGTTGTGGGAGGGCGTAGGGTTGCGAGTACTGTATAGGGGTGGGTTCGGTTTTATGTTATGGAGTCCGCGAAGGGCGTGAGGTGGGAGGTTCACTACAAGAAAACTGCCGATCTGCCACGGACAATTTCCGTTGCAGAATTTGAAATTCCGTGGCAGATTTAACTTCTACGACGGATCTGCAACGAAAATGTTCCGTCGCAGAAAAGTTGTGGCAGATTTATAATCTGCGACGGAATTAAAAATCCGTGGCAGATCTGCGACAGACCTGCAACGGGTTCGTCTTTTTTTGCAACCCCAAGAATCTGCGACGGAATTGAAAATCCGTGGCAGATTTGCGACAGACATAGCGACGGAAATAGCCGTTGCAGATCTGCAACAAAAACAGCGACAGATTTTGCCGTCGCAGATCACCTGATCACACACACAGATTTTTATTGTTTTTAGGCCGTAGCTATTAAAATGGCGGGCAAAACACATTCAATTTTTCACACACATAATTCTAAATAAGATTTCAATACGAAATAGATAATTCAAAACTAGATTAATACAAATTAAAATTCACGTACAAGTGTAACATAATTCATAATATTGTAAAAACACTAAATAGTAAAGTGTTAGTGTCAAATGTCAAAGGTGTCAACAAATCCCGAGCTGCCCTGCCCCTCCCGTTCCATCATCATCGCCTCGTAGAGGAAGGTTACCACCATATAACTTCCTTATCTCTTCCTGAATCGTCAGTTACAAGCTCATTCTGTCTAGCCTTTAAGCCCATTCTGTCAAGCCTCCTCAAGCAGTTCGAAGAATTGGGCCTGCAATATATGAAAGTTAATGACAACGTAACAATAATAGCGTCAAGAACAGCAAGAACAGCAACTAAACAACATCAACAACACAAGAGCAGTGTCATATTGCAACAACATCACCATCAACGCAACAACAAAAGCCGTGTCATATGACAACAACAACACCATCAACGCAGCAACAAAAATAGTGTCATATGACAACAACACCATCAATGCAACAACAAAAAAAGTGTCATACGACAACAACACCATCAACGTAACAACAATAATAACAAGACGATTAATAATAACATCAACAACAAGAATATCGTCAACAAAAACAATTCAATTACATAAGAAAGCAAGTACATTATCACCCTTTAGAAGTTTTAAGACAAAAACACCAACATTATGAGCATGGACCTAAATTGTTTTGCAAATTACAGAAAGTACCTCTAGCTCAGCATGTCCTGGATCCACCAAAGTCTTTCCGTCGTGCTTCTTTGTCTTTGTGTGGATGATAACCTCATCCAACGGCACAAGCACCCCTGTCTTCTTAGCCTTCAAGTTTCAATGAACATTTCTATTACATTTTAAATTTAGTGTCCACCAAATAACAAGTGCAAATCTATTATTTTATAAAATATATCTTACCAATCGATTCATATTTTCAGAAAATGGAATTGAACCTCCAAAGAAGTTTATAAAATATATCTTACCAATCGATTCATATTTTGATCAACCACCAATTCTGTTTGCATCAGTACTTATGCGCCGGAGAAAGTTGGAAAATAAATGCTTAAATGTGCATGCCAAGAAAGAACAAAATAAACATCCAGACTGAAACTACACTATTTTTTCTGTTGCCAGGTGAACTATAAATCAGATTAAAGAAGAAACAAAAAAGCCAATGATCAAACTCAAGAAGCAGTCAAAGTAGGCAAACCTGTGCTGGATCAGAATCATTGTCCGAAAGCAAGCTCCAAACCATCTCTAAATCCAAATCTCTCTCACTCGGAATTTCTGAGGCCTCAGCTTCTTCGCCGTCGGGCTCCAGCAACTTCTCAGGATACCAACGCTTAGCGCTCTCATCCGCCATCATCATCGCAATACAAACCAATCAAATATGCAGTGGAATCTATAAAGGCTAGCTCCAAATCCTACTAACACAACTTCCTCAACTTCCCAGTAGTTATTCACTGCCACAAACCATTTACACAAAAAATATAAAATTGAAAGCTTTACTCTGCTACGGGAAAAAGCTGTGGAGGAGTTACCAATTTCAAGTATCTTCTCTAATAAAACCACAAACAACAATCATTTAACTACATATATCACAAAATTCAACTAAATTTTACTTAAATTTTCAATAAACGTCAAATTAACTAACACAATTTCAACAAAAATTACAGCTTAACTGCTATCAATTTCACAAAAAAAACTAATGCAATTTTTACCCAATTTCATATCAATTTAAACTCATATTCACACAATTTCAACTAAATTTCATAAAAATGCAATAAATTTCACACAAACAAATTCAATTTCACAAAAAATTACAATAATAATAAATTGTATAAAATTAAACTAAAATACCTTGAGAGGAAGAGGAGGTCAGGTGGGGGAAGATGGCGGTCGAGACACTGGCGGCGGCGAGGGGTGGAGACACTAGGGGCGGCGGCGGCGGCGAGGAGGGAGGGAGACACTGGTTGTCGAAGGCGAGGCGAGAAGGGAATCACTGGCTGCGCGGTCGACGGCGAGGCAAGGAGGACGAGCGCCACGGCATCAACAAACCGTGCGACGGCGGCCGGCGGTCTAGGAAAGCCGCGGAGGAGATGTGTCGGTCGAAGTTGGGTGGACGGAAGATGGCTGGGTCTGGATGTCTGGATCTGTGAACTGATTTCGTCTACAGATCTAAAAGACGATAACCTGATTTAAATTAATTATCTGCAACGGAAATAAGTACGTTGCAAATTCCGTTGCAGATTACACGAAATGTTAACCTCACTTTATTCCGTAGCAGATCTGCGACAAAAACAAAAGTTCCGTCGCAGATAGTGTTCCTTTTTCAGAAATTATTACTCCGTCGCAGATTCGTTGCAGAACTGCTACGGATATGTGTCCGTAGCAGATTTTCGTTGCAGACCAGATAAATTCTTGTAGTGGTTATGGTAGTATTGTTTATATGATTGTTTGGCTTGGGCTTGATATGGGCTTGGTGGGGGTGGTGGGCCAAGGATCCAAGATTCCAGGGCTAGGAGACGGTGATTACCAAGGTACATAACCTCTAAATGTGGTTCCAAGATTTTTCCTGTTACTACACGACTGAGTTGCTGCCCGCGACCACCACTACCTCGTCTAGAACCGATGTTGCTACCTCCTCATGATTGCCAGGACGCGCCACTACTACTTCTATTGCTCTAGCTGTGATTGAGCCTAAGAAGGAGGGGGACAAACAATAATCATTAATCAGCGAAAGGGGCATCCCACTTTCAGTGGCGAGCAGATATGTCCGTTGCTGCTCAATGAAGAGGAGGGCAGAACGAACTTCTAGAAAAGACAATAGGGGCATCTAAAATTCAAGAGAGTTGGATTACAAATGAAGATCATCGGGGATTACGCCCACGAAGGGCTTGAACAAGAAGTTGATGATCTAAGATAGGAGCATTAACATCATCCAAAAATTCAGCCATGTTTTTGAGCATTTGATAATACTCCAGCGTAGATTTGGTTCCTTGGGTGGTGGTGCAAGATTCGTGCTCATGTTGCATAGCCTGATCATGAATATTGTCGTGGAACATATCATAAACAGCCTTCCACAGTTTGGTTGCGGTAGAGTGAGAGGTAATGATGAGATATGATGTAATGCCCCAAAACACACCCTAAATTTTTTATTGAATTATTATTCAATTAAAAAAATTTGTTTTGATTAAAATAAAATTATTGTTGGGCTTTGGGCCAAAATGAAATATGTTTTGATATCCAATATCACAAACTAGATAAATCTTGTGGATATAAATCCAAAATGCAATGTATTTGAGTGGTGTTGATTGGGAAACAGAGTATAGACCCAAATCAAGAATAAATAAAAAATTTAATTTATATTGTAAACTTTTGAGATGATTTATCGAAATAAATAATGAAAATAAATAATATGATTAGAATATGAGAATCTTTCGAATAAAAAATTAATTAAATTAATTTTGACCCTGTCAAAGTTAAACACCTAAAGGTATGGTTCTAGAAAAAATATTACAAATAAATAAAAAAATTATATTGTTAGACAGAATTTGACTGTCTAAGCACGTCAGTACAATCAGATTTCAACTCGGAGAAAGGTGGACAAAAAAGTGTACCCTGATTGGGACCAAATTAGTCCTAATCAAGGAAAACGTCTACAAACAGCGCCTCCTCCTCCACTAAGCGATTCATCGATCAACTCAGATGCATCAACCATTGACTTCTTCTCCAAACTCCTCCTAAATAAGGCATGCTTAATTCTTCATCTCTTCACCATTCATCACAATTCTTCCTTTTATTATATATGTTCCTTAGAGTGTAAGGAGTGTGGTGGTGCTGTCCACTGGTGGTGAGGTCGCCGGAGCTAGCCACAATACAATCATCATCAAAATTTCCGCGGGAAATTTCCCAAACTGTCCGTTTAAGCTCGAGGTAAGCCCTTAGATATATCTAGTGATTAGAATGTTCATATAGATCATTTCAACGTTCATAAACGATCATTTGGTTGAGTTTTGTGTTTGAAATACTTGAAGAAGCAAACATTTTCCATGATGAAAACTTTGATATTGAAGCTATAAAATCCTATTTTTGATACGATTCAATTATGACCAACATGAAAATGATTTTTGGAAATAAAAATGTTGTTTTGACCAATCCAAGAACCTTATGTGTTGCATTACGATAAGCTAGGGTGTTAAAACTCGATGCTAGACCGCTATTTGTTATTAAATATTATGATGATTATTATTAAATATTGATTATGATCAAATGTTGATGAATATTTTAATTAAAAAGATAACTATGAATGATTGAACCATGATTAATAATGAACATATCGATGATTATGAAAATGATGTGTATTGTTAATGGTATCTAGAAGAACTCTAAGATATACCTATATGACAGATTTAGTTAATTGATATTGATTTTTAAGGGCATATAGAAGAACTCTAAGATATACCCATATGACCAATTTAGTTAATTGATATTGATTTTTAAGGGTATCTAAAAGAACTCTTAGATATAGCCATGTGACCAATTTAGTTAGGCCTTCCGGCTATGATGCCTAGTGGGAAGGGTTAAAATGTACGTACAGGATCCAAAAACCAAACTTGAGTACCTACTCGTTTGGGGGTACCACTGAAGCCGACGGTGAGGAGTCCGATGTTCGGTTCCTTGTGTACCCTAAGCTAAGACTAATTTAGGAGTTGTTAAACATTTTTAAAAAAATTGTACCTTAAACTACATTAGCTTAAAAGTTGGTTAGTAGTACCTTAAACTAGAATATAATTTAAGAGTTGAAAAATAGTATGAATTGTGCCTTAAACTAGGAATAGTTTAAGTGCTGGTTAGTACTACCTTAAACTAATTATAGTTAGAGTTGGTTAAAATATTGCCTTAGACTAAGAATAGTTTAATAGTTTGTTATCAAAATAAATTGCCTTGGATTAATAGTAATTTAAGAGCATTGTTAACGATATGAATATTGAATATGTAAACTGAATATTATGTGCAAGATATCAAATGATTTGATTTTGAATTGAGATTCAATTTTTATGGATGTTTGATATATTAGATATGCTTACTCAGCTTCTCTGCTGAGCGTGTAGTTTGTTTTATTTGCTACACGTAAGTAAATAAAAGAATGGTGTGACATGATACTGGTGGTAGACGGAGGGGGGATTGTCAAGATGGATGTGTTGGTTTTGAATTATTATTTCTAAAGACATAAATTAGTTATGTTTTGTAAATGTAATTTGTTAAAGTTTTCGCAACTTTAAATACTCCATTATTATCCTAAATATTTTATTATGTAATACAGTTTGAAATTGTTTTGAAATGTTCTAAATTTTACAATTACCAAGTTTATACTTTAGTCCAAAAGGGGTTGCAAACCTAGACGGACTAGGATGTTACAATTTGATATCGGAGCAAATGGTTTTAAGCTCGATCTTCGGATCAAAGTTTGATTTTAAAATAAATATAAATATAAATATATACATACATACATATATATCTGTGTGTGTGTGTGTGTGTGTGTGTGTGTGTGTGTGTGTGTGTATAGGGATTGACTCCAGTGAGATGACATGCTTCGTTCAGATGACATAAAGCTCACCACTGGTCACTGCAAAGCTCACCAAAGACAACTACAAACCTCACCAAAGTGTAAGGCAAATCTCACCATATTTTTTCAACACTTTGAATTTTTTTCCAAAAAAAAAATCAAAGGAAAGGGTGCTGACTGGACTTTGACTGTTGACTGCCAGCATTGACCGCCGCCTGCCACCGGTCGCTGGCCGCCGCCGCCGGTTGCTGGCCGCCGCTGCAGCCGCTACCGCCAGTCGCCGTTGTCGCCGTCGCCGGAATCCGGTCACAGCCGCCGCCGGTCGCCGGACTCCGGCCGCCGCCCTAGACCAGTGGTTGACTGGTGTTGTTATTTTATTTTTAATTAATTTTTTAAATTTTAAAATTTAAAAAAAGTGGGTTTTGGAGTTCAAAGTGGTGAGCTTTGCTTTATTTTCAGGTGAGCTTTGCATTGTCCATTGGTGAGCTTTGTAGTGTAGTGTGGTGAGCTTTGCTTTATTAGCCTTTTTTTTTAAAAAAATGGTGAGCTTTGCATTATTCCTTGGTGAGCTTTCCATTGACAGTTGGTGAGCTTCACATTGATAGTTGGTGAGCTTTACACTTCGATCGCCCATGACCTATGGCCACCATTGATGACCCCCACTATTGCCGTGGACCGGTGGTTGAGCGGTGGTTGAGTGGTGGCTGAGTGGTGGTGTAATTTTTTTAACTTTCTTTATTTAAAAAAAGTGGTGAGCTTTGCATTGACAGTTGGTGAGCTTTGCATTGGTAGTTGGTGAGCTTTGCATTGGCAGTTGGTGAGCTTTCCATTGGCAGTGTTGTGTGTTGTGTCATCTCATTGAAGCATGTCATCTTACCATAATGTGTCATCTCACTGGAGTTAATCCCATATATATATATATATATATGTATATATATATATATATGTATATATATATCTATGTATATATATATATATATATACACACACACACACACACACACACACACACACACATACATATATACATACATATATATATATATATACATATATATACATATATACATCTATATATACATACATACATACATACATACATACATACATACATACATACATACATACATACATACATATATATATATATATACATATATATATATATATATATATATATATATATATATATATATATATATATATATATATATATATATATAAAATACATATTTGGCTGTTAAAAAAAGTTAATCACATCATCGACTCTCGCATCCCGTTATATTTCAGGAGAGGTAATGAGAAGTTATTTAATAAATATTGATTGTATTCAATTCTCATTAGATGAAAATTGTTAGTACTGAAATCAAATTTAGTATCGATTCAAATCAAACTTTCATACTCGGCAAGAGACAAAAGAATAAACGAAAAGTGTATGACTCTCTGATCCGTTATCAACGTACTCATTGCATCGCGAGAATGACTAAACTAAAAATTTATCTGCGTCGTCGTAAAACCACATGGAAGCAAGATGACTCTGAAGAAACGTTTGATGTTGATCTTGCGAGCAACATCTATGAATCCGGTGTTGAAGATCCTCTAATCACTGATTCAAACACAAACATTTAGAATTAATAAACTCTATTATTTAACAGTGTCCCATGTTATTGTATAATCTATTAGAGCACAGTATGTGATTACATCTATTAACCGATTCAAATGATTACCAATACTCGAAATTTTTTTTCTTTTAAATCGTTTGTTTCGCGTACCGATGCAAATGTGGTGATTAATTGGTCATATTTGTAGTAGTGTACCTAGTTATGAAGGGATTAGTAACTTAATTGCTTATTGTTGAAAGCATGCATCACTATAGTCTGATTGAATGAATGATACTAACGTTAAGATAATTTGCCCGTCCATATATCCTACTCGTGTGAAAAATTGCAAATGTGGTGATGATACGGAATGAGTTGTGCAGCAGTGACACCACCAATGTGTGACTAAAGATGAAGAGAACGTTTGATATATACACACACACACACACACATACATACATACATACATACACATACAAGGAATGCATAATAGCCACACATTTTTTGGGGGGCTTACGGCGGGGTTGGGGTGGGGTGC